GACCATAAAGACTCTGTTGCAGATCTCCTTGTTCTTTTGATAGAATCAGTGATATCACAACCACCATAAACAAAATGTATACTAAAAGAGCCTACTCCATATAAAATTACTGGTTTTACTGCCCATAACTTTTATCTGTAGCATTTTTCATAATATGCCTATCACTGCAGTAACAAATAATCATTTCAGATTTCTTCATTATTTTTCTTCTGGGCTATAATTTATCATGCTTAGTCTCAATAAAAAAGAATATTTCCTTCCTTGTACTTAATTTGCCCAAAACAAAGTAGAAGCAGTATGTCTGATGCATCTGAAATGTTGTTCACAAGTATTAGAAATGCATAACTCAAAAGTTAGCTTAAATGCTCATCAGTTCTATTCAAATCTTAAAATAATATTTGCATGTGAGATTTTAACCCTAAAGGCTACATTTTTGAGATGGTTTCTAAGGAGTAAAAAAAAAGGGCTGGGGGGGGGATTAGGAAGTACCTCATGTTTGAACATGTAGGACAGTTAGTACAGTCCAAATGAGTGTAGTTAGTTTGAATGGTCCCATGGCCCAAGTCCTGCCCATGCAGAATCCCTCTGAAGTTGATGTAGCTTTACACAGTTATGTCTGTACAGATCCTGTTGCAACATTGGGTGTTGGATATGAGAGACATGAGGCTTGAGCTAGCATTTAGACTAGAGGCACAAAACCAGGAAAGGATTCAGGTCTGGATTCCACTGCACTAAAATTCCATGTACTGATTCCACAGGTTTTTCACCCCAAAAATTGGCAAGTATCATTCAATTGATTATTTTCACATTAAAACCACCTTGCCTTTTCCCAGATTTCAGGTGCATCTGAATGGGAAATATATCCACCTTCAATTTCTGATCATAGTCAAAGCGTGGTGCCTTAGATGTTTGGATCCACATTTGAAACTCACCCCTTAAAATCAATGGATAATATAGACTATGTTTGGTCAGATGTAGTGATGGCACTTGCTATAACAGATGCATGAGCAGGCTGTAGCTCAAATCTCAGAGTTTGGGGAGGAGGGTCGTTTGTGGACCTTATATCTTGCTTCAGATATCAAGAAGAGCTTATTTCATTTTTAAAACAATTACATATGAATGCAGTGGTAGCCATTAAAAAACTTATATTTGCTGACCATTACAATAAAATATTCCCCTTTCAAAACATAGGAGCAACTGTGGAAATCTCAGATACTTCCATGGAATCACTTTTGGCCAATGATGACTTTTTAATGACAACCATTAGGCATCCTCTTGTGCAAATACATTTCAAACTCTTTAATTTTCAGCAAGCTCTTAACAATTTATAAGGTGTGTGTATGGGGGGGGGGGGTTCATACCACTAGAGAGTATCTTTTAACTTCTGTCATGTCTATGTACCATTGGTGAGTACCATTGCTGACATGAGTTAGGTTTTCATATTGGTTACCTGGCATTCACTGCTATTTCGTATTGGTCCAGTTCACAGACATTTAAATGGGAAACATGGGATGTTGATCATTCATGTCTCATAAAATACAAAGACTTACCATTCACTGGTCATATCAGTCATTTAAAATTGTAGCCGTGGACATGCCGCTGTATACAATTCAGTGTTGATTCTGGTTTTTGCTTGTATTGGAAGTGGGGTGATACCACAGAACAGTCAAAGATGCTAGAAATTCCAACAGTGTCATAACCTAGTTTTGGAAAAAAAACTATGATGATTTTAACAGTTTTCTTTGGGTTAGGAATTAAATAGCTCAGTATTACTTCAAAGCAGAAGGAAAACACTTTGCCACATGAATTTGCTTCGAAATTGCTGCTTAAGTTTTTGTGAATAAGGTGGTTTCTACTTAGAATGCCTGTGGGTTTCACTAAAAAGACTTTGTTCGCTTTAAAGGCATAAGAAAAAGGCCCTATTTTGTCGTTATTATATAATAATGTGTCTGGAGGAAAAGTTTATACGGCAATAAATTCATTTGGGGAAAAAAAATAATCTCATCTTTTTAGAATTGTGACAACAGTTAAAAGCCCTCTGCAGCCTGGTAAAGATCAGCATCACTCACTTGGTACTGTGACATATAACCACTACAGAAAATTGATTCTTATTTTTCTGACAGGGTAAAGGGAATGAAGTAGTTTCCTTTTGTATATCTTTATAACACTGTAGACTGGCCACCAGTAATAACGCAGGGGTGCATTAGATTACCATGGCAATCATATGCGATGAAATGAAACCAAAACACTTTAGTCAGACCGTGCAGTAATCAATTTTTACCTTTCACCATTCTGACAGTGCGATCATTTTTGAGTCAGCTTTATGACATATCTCCAGTTTTAGCTGATATATCTTGGGATCCCATTTGGCTTAACAGACATTTTTAAAGACCTGTGAAAATTGTACACTGCTTGACAGCTGTTCATGTTACTAACTTGGAGTATTTCCTGCCAATACACTAATACCTTTAGAAGTTCTTGGTGCTTTGAAAAGGCATTCAAGAAAATGAGTATAGACTACACGTGACCACTACTCGCAGGTAAATTGTGGGTTTTATCTTTCCTAAAAGATTTGTGCTGTTGTCCCCGATTCTTGTTAGATAGAGGATTTCTTTAAATTATATACTTGGACTTTGGGAAGAATCGGTTCTGACTGATAAAGAAATGAATGTAGTGTTCAGCTATACCAAAGGAAACAATATGCAAGGAACTTGATGGTATTTCTGAGTATGGTACTCAAAGGTTAGGTTTTATTTTCTTACAGTTGTAATAGATTTCTGAAAATCTTGCATGTATTCAGGTTTTAGACATGTTCTTTCTTTAAACATTGGAAGTGTTATATGCTAGATTTAGCATGTAAATAGCACAGCTATTTGAGCATGTTTGAGTGCTTAGTGTTTTCGTAAGACAGAAAGGTTAGCTGGGTTTTCTGGGAACATTAATATTGATTTAACTAGTGGTTTCCTTGAGCTTTAGCAATTGCATTGCTAGGAAATGCACTTGAACAACCTCAACACTAAATTACCTTTCTAGACATAGATAAAAAAAAATCCCATTAATTTATATATACTCTTTATGCACATTATTAGAACACATGGTTTGAGAGCATGGCCCAACACACTTCTTGACATAGACAAGTTCATATGTTTGGGCAGATACTCTTAGCAATAATAAACATACAATAGGGAAAAAATACATCTCAGATGTGATCTCTTTGGAAGATGGAACACAATTGCATTCTGTGTACAAACTATTTTACAAACTCAAATCTTGGAAACAAGTGTAAATTACTACAATACATAACAGCTAACATGGCTTTTATAAGTTGGAAATAATAGCTTTAGGAATAGGGAGTAGAGAATTGCCAGCTTCTCCAATTTAAATGACTTAAAGCTTCAGAAAAGTGGAACGTCATTACCCAGCTGCCACAAGTCATATATGTAATAACATAGGGGATACTTTAATAAGCATAGTAGTCATTGCACCACATCAGAAAAAGAGCAGAGAAAACACTACTATATGTAAGAGAATGTGAGTTTTAGTCCACCTTCATTTTTACACCATTCATTTCACTTATTAGTGACATTATAGCAGAGGACAAGTACTCAAAACAGTTTGCTAACTGGGTACCACAGATGTATGTCTGCCCATATATTCCAGGCTGAATACAGGGTAGGTGCACCGAAGTACTGAATCCCTTAATATGACCTTCATTCAAGCGTGTTTTCTGGAAGCTTTTGTGTTCTCAGGAAAGGTTGTGGGTCTGTAACATTTCAACTGAAGAAAATGTATTTATTTTAAAATGTTTACACAGATATATTTTCAGTCCTACAGTGCTTGCAGTGAGGGTATCAGATGAAATTGCAGTTGTTTGTTCTCTCTTGGCCACTCCATTGTACTTAGTTTTCATCGTGCCATCTGGAATTTGGTGTTTACACCTAAGAGTTTCTTTGGAATAGGAATTAAGGCTAGATTAAAATTTTTTGAGAAGGGAAAGATAAACCAATATGATAGTACCTTCTTACGTAGCAATAGAGAGATTAGCACTTGTTGATATTTCTGTGTGTCTCCTTTTTTGGCGTAGTAGCTTTATTTCCTGTTCCTCACTAATCATTTGCAAATTTAAAATGGATTGAATTGCTTTGTGCCTCTTTAAAGTTGATGAGAGAATTTTATTTTAATTTCAACAACATTAAAGCTAGCTTTGGTTTCTGTATGTATTTATAGACCTCCTGTTTTATGGTAACCATATATTATTGCCAGCTTTCAATCACTTCGTTTATTAGTGGGTTAGCTGAGTGGTGGGTTACATAAGGATAAGACCGACATTGTGGTTTCACGCTCTCCAAACAGCCACACAGAATGCCTCATCAGGGAGTGCTTGTATTCAGTGTGACATTGCCAGCCTTTAATTATGGTTAATGAAAACTGCAGGATGGAAAAAATAAGTGCCTTTGCAGATGCTGGAGCAGTTTATGGAGATATTTAGGAGCAGCATATTGCTGCAGCTAGAGAGACAAGTGCCACGCAATGAGGTCATTAAATGATGGGTTTTCCAGTTCATTCTAGTTTCTGCCAGTTGTCCTATCCTTTCTCCTCTTGTCTCCATTCATCTTTTCCACCTCCAACCCAGCTACACACAGTGAAGGCTGAGATAACAAGCGTGTCTATCAAACCTGAAAATCTATAGGTTATTGTATGCTGCGTTATTTTCCTATTTGGACTGTCACATTATTAATGATTTAACTAATTAACTCCTCTAAATAAGTTATGCAACAAGCTGGTATTAACTTTAAAATTGAGCTGTGTGACATAACGTTCCATTAACCTGTTCTGTTAGCTTGGTTTTAATAGTCTCATCTTGTGGCAACAGGGAAAGTAGATGGTGCTAAAAGCAAAAATACTGGATTTGATGGTAGCTTGCTCTAGATGATACTGTTTCTTTGTTCATTCAAGAGTCTGACATTATTGCATCTCCTACTGTTTAATTTTCTTTGCAGAACGGTGGTGATGCCAATTGCCAATGAATTTGCCCCAGATGTTGTGCTGGTATCATCTGGTTTTGATGCCGTGGAAGGTCATCCTACACCTCTTGGAGGATATAATCTATCAGCAAAATGTAAGTTGCAGCTTTACAACAGGGGGCAGATCCAGAGCTGACGTAAATGGCTCTTGCTCCGTTCACCTTAGTGGAGCTGTTACCACTTACACTAACTGCAGACCTGCCCACAGGTCTTTCTGTTTAATGTGTTCATTTGTACCATTTGTATTCCTGTCACTGTGTTCTGTGCATTTCAGTTGCTTCCTTGTGTTGGCCCCATGGGCATCTTGCTCTCATAAAACAACATTTGTATGCAATTCTTAATTGAGAGAATGGTATTTGCTAAACAACATTAAGTTACAAGTTTCTCAGGCAGAAGTGAAGAACAAGGAAATGTCAGATGTAAACACTGAGGATTTAGAGATCTGCTGGGATTCAGTTTTCTTCTCCAGAGCTAAGTAAAAATAAATCTAGTTGAATATTTTTCTCATCTTTTCAAAAGGTTATGAAGTCCAGAAAAAAACCTTTCCCCTTCAGATCCACAGTGATGTGTATTGCACAAATACAGGGCTGAATTCTTTCCTTGGTTGCCCTGTTGTCAATCTGGATTTACTTTGCTTAAGCCAAAGAAGAAAAGAATTTTTTAGCCAAAGTCTAAAAAATCAAAAAGAACTTTTACAGTTTTGATGCCTGTTAGGAAGGGATTATCTAGGGTGAACTTGGAGGTTTATAAAGAAGCTAAGCCTACAAGCTTTCTAAAAGAATGAACTGAAATGGAAGACTTTAAAAGGCAAGGGTTTGTTTTTTTTTAAGGACTACACAAATGCTTTACAAATGAGAATATTTTATTTACCTAGTTGTTGAATTTTTCTCTAATTTTGTTTTACCTTCATAAAATGTAAAATTGACCTCAGGGAGTTTATTATGTAGTTGGTTCAGGCAGTGAGATGTTCCCAGGCTGTTAAATTAACCAAGTGCTTTAGTTACAAACATGCCTGAGGGTGAGACTTACAGCAAAATAGAAAATAGGGAAGTCTGAAATAAAAGGGTTTTTATGCATTTGTTTTGAGTTGGGGAAGTTCCTTCTTTTTTCTTTTCTGGAGTCTATGTCAATAGTGGAATTAAATATACTGGGTGTCAAATGATCAAAGTCCAGGTGTTTCAAGGACTCTTATACCATGTTGTATATGTAAAGAAGCTGCTATTGAATGCTGAATGTCAAATGCCCGTAAAGCATTGTAATTGTAATTTTTCACAAACAGAAGCGCAAACTGCAATCTGTTGTTTCCCCCTTCTATCTCCTTCATGACATTCATTCTGATGCTTTTTTTTCTCCTTCATATTATAAATCAGAGCAGAAGCAGCTACCTTCCAACTTTGTTCCTGTTGTCAAGAAGTTTTTCTTTCCTTTCCAGTCCTTTCTACTGTGTTAAATTCAGAACATAGCAAAACAGATTCTGACTTCAGTTATCCTGGTATAAATCTGAAGTAATGTTAATGAACATTACAGAGCTCCTCCAGGTTTACACGCATGGAAGCAAGATAAGAATCTGTTCTGTAGCGCATACACTTACGCTGATCCGAAAGAATCGAGCTGAAATTCTGAAACAAACGTATTAAAATAGAACCTGGCTTATATTATGTGTTTAGTCCTTGCAGATCCCTTGTGGTTTATTTTAATATGATGTAATTCCTTTTTATAATTCTTTGATCCTTTGCCAAGAGTCTGATTCCACTGACAACCTTTGCCCTTTTCTTGCATTTCCTGTTGCCCTGTTACAGGCTTTGGGTACCTGACGAAGCAGCTGATGGGATTGGCCGGAGGTCGAATCGTTCTGGCCCTTGAAGGGGGTCATGACCTGACAGCCATTTGTGATGCATCTGAAGCATGTGTTTCTGCTTTGCTGGGAAACGAGGTATAAAGAATATTAAAAGCACTATGGATAGCTTTATGTTGACAAATTCAAGGTACTACAAATTCAACAGCTTTGTTCCAGAGCTCAGCATGATGAAATTGTATTTTGCCACTATCGATTAGCTGTTTTCTAAATTTCTTAAATTCTAATTTGTCTTTGTTCCTAGTCCTTCCTTTAATGGAAGAGCATCAGATTGAAAATAACGTATTTAAAAAAAAAAAAAACCCTCTCCCCTGTTGGCAGCTTTTCAGTTGATTAGAACTGAATTATAAAAGTGAAATTTGTCTTTACTGCTCATACCCTTATTGTATTTTCCTGGGCTTCGGCAGTGACAATAAATGAATTGGTTTATTTTATATTTATGGTCCTTATCTGAGACTTTCTCTCCTATGTGCTCTCCCTCCTCAGTAGCCATTCTGTTGTTTGTTTTGATAATACTTTTCACATTTTTCAGTACCACAGATTGGTGTTTTGAAAAAGCATAGCTGTTGTAGGATGTGTCAACGAAGGCTGGTGGATTGATAACTAGATAGGAGGCATGTGAGTTTGGAGCCCCCTCTTTAAGTGTCAGGAGCAAATCTAGTTTCTGGCACTCAGGAAATAGTTCTGTTTTTGGGGGTGGGTATGCAGACATATCGCTGCTTTCCTTTTCCCTTTTTCTTATGGATAGCAGTGATAAGTATAGGGAAAAAAGAAATTGAATTCTTCCTTTCTCACTCCAATAACCTTAGAGCAATCCTGTTTCAACCTGCTGCTACCTCAAGTCCAGTTAAGCTCACTAGTTATATGTATCTACCAAAATGAATAGTAATAAAATAGTTAATAGTGGTCACATTTGACTTATCAGGTATCCCAAGAGAGAAATAGTTAACTAGGGAAATAAACTGTGCTGGCATCCAGTTAAATTTAACAGTGTGATCCGAGTTGGGGTCCCTGACTTTTTTTTTATATTGTCAACTCATGAGATTCTCATGAGCAGAGGCGATTTCCTTCAGTCTGTCATAGTCAAAACCCTAGATTAGATTCAAGCACGCAATTAAGCAGCAAATCAAAAACTAACCCTTTGTGCAGCCACTTAATCACAGGCTGTGCTTAAGTCAGTGTTCTGCAGTTGTCTGTCATGTTTGTACCTGTGGCATACACTAAAGGTGTCCAGGGTCAGTTCTAACTTCTATTTTTGTTAGCTTATAGGCTTATGAATTTCAGCAACTTGTTTATTTTGGCTAGCTCCAACCCACATCTTCGGGTGTATTCCTCCTTTTTTGGACACCCACACTCCTCATGGTATACTAAATGTGTTTTCAGTTCATGGCCAGAATCCAAATGGCAGAATGCTGGCAGGCATGCATGGACACACAATGGACAGAACAGCATTGCATTGCTTTTCCATCTAGGAAAATTGGACTCAATGCTAAGAAGCACATGTCTGGTCAGACTGGAGCCTTAGGAAGTAGCCACTATTAACTCAGAAGATGTCATCATAGCAACAGCTCTGAGAAGCCTTTCGAAATAAATGTTGAAGATGAGTGAAGAATTCTTTAAAAATATAGTATTCATTGCCTAGACCACAGACTGCTTGAATTACCGTCATATAAAAATGGTTAGATATATCAAATTGGCGTGATGCTGTAAAATTGGGATATTATTACAAATTGAATGCCGTGCAAATTATTTTTGGCTGTCTCAGGGAATATGGGATTTCCATGTATGCTTTGCACTGTATGACAAGGCTCTGTTTGTCAACATGCATCGATTCTACCTATATAACCTCAATGCGGGATTTGGAAAATCAGCTCACCCGTGACCAATACAAGCATTCCTGGATGAGAGCCACCACCTTCAGTAGAATCTAAATCTTTAGTCTCTATGATAGCTCTAAGCTTTTATTCTCTACGATAGCCCAGAGAATCGTACATAGCTGCTCTGGATGCAAATTGAAGTGCAGCGTTCCGCCCACCCCCGGATTAAGTGATTTCTGAAACATCCAGGCAGAGAAAAATGTCCTGGACTCAAGTAAATGTTTTATGTTTCTTAGAGAAAAGGAGAAAACAATCAAGTCAGCCTCATGTTGGATAAGGTACAGAGACACTCTTCTTAGGGCCATTTCCCCCTGTTTCACAGAAGACAAAACTGTCTGTCAGGTGAAAGGAGGGTTCAGTCAGCATCCTTTACCTTTCCTGAAGAAGAATTTGTTCTCTTGTAACCTTTCCTCAATGAAGAGCCTTGTGATGCAAGAAGTAGACAACTGCAGCGTCAAAAATGCCAAGAGGTATAGAGTCATGTGGAGGAACTCTTGATCCGTACTTCAGCTCTAGCACTGTCCAAATTGAAAACCAAGGCGTCCAAAATAGGCTTGAACTACAAATAAGCTTTTCTTGGAGTGGAGCTGCAATTTAATGGCAAAGAACTTTCTTTTCTCTGTTTTGACAAGTCCAGAGTTTAAATATGCACAAAAGTATAGATAGCCTGTATCTGCTGACCACATTTTAGCCTCCTCTGAATCTGGAACTCTTTCTCTCTCGAGATACGTGGTAACTGGGGAAACCAACTGTGCTAGCCTTCAGTCAGATTTAGCAACGTTGTCTCATTTGCAGTCCCTGCCTCTCTCATACTATAAACTCATGAGATCCTCATCAATGGAGGTGATTTTCTTCAGTCTATCCAAAACTTTGATGAGGCCTGCTTTTTGAGTCTCTTACCTAGTGTGTGCGTCCACAGTAGCTTGTTGCTACTGTGCAGTAGTGTTGGCAGGCACTAACCGTGATGTACCACTACTGCACAGTAGTAACAAACTACTGCACAGTAGCTCATTGCTACTGCACAGTAGCATCTGAAAAACATATAGGGATGGTACTGCACAGTAACGCCAATTTAATGCTTGCTTATACAAGTACTAAATGATTGTAGTAATAATTGTGCAGTCTGTCCCTTGTGTAGACGCAGCCAGTGATTCTCAACCTTTTAATGCTCAAGGCACTCCTCAGAAAATGCCAGTTGTAAGTTTACCTTTGTTTTTTAACTACAGAAAAATAATAGAGCAGTTTTTCTGTTGCAGTGAACTGAGGAAAACCACAATACTTCAGAAGATTTTAACACTCTAAATTCCTATTTGAAATCGCTGAGTTTATTTTGTGAGTCATGTTTACACACCTAACAGTGCTAACGTTGACTGGCACCCAAGGGCACCTTTGAAAGGATCTCAAGGCACCCTGATTGAGAATCACTGCTCTAGCATTTTCAGGACAAATATTAAAGCTTGGAAGGGGAGAGGGTAAGAAAACAACCAACAGATTATAGGTGTTAGTCTTTTCCTTAGTGGTAACCTTGTTTAGAATCATCTCGTAGTGGTAACCCCCACCTTTTGTGGGGGGGTTTAAATACTCCAAATATTTTATTTTATCTATAAAACTTATGAGTGATCATTTCCACTTAGCAAAGCACATATTTGTTCATAAGTTTATAGATTGGTATAATTTAATATAGAACCTTTTTTCTCTTGATAATCAGAAAAATAGTGAGGAACTTAAAAGCTTTTAAGGATAGACCTGTTCTTGGTTTTGATAAGTAGGTTATAAGCCTGTACAGATAGCATGACAGTGGTCTTTTACTTGTGCACATCAAAAAGCAGGAAGCACTAATATTATCAAAGTCTTTTTATAAAATCTTTTTAACGCAAAGAAGTTGGAGGGCTCTGTCCTGCGGGCCCTTTGATGAAGTTTGATATACAGTGTGTTAGACAATTTTGCATGCACGCACACGGACAGCCAGCTGTGGACAGAAGCAGGCTGCAGGGGAAATTTGCTAACTTAAGAGATATGGCAAAATTATATGGTGAAACAGTAGGAAATGAGAAAAAAATGTAGGCCCCACAAGTGTCCATATTCACCAACTGGGATTAGAATTTTAATTTTAAAAAATTGTCCATGTGGTTCCAAAGTGTAGAGCTTGGGGTTGCTCCCAAGTGTCAGGGAAATGAAAATATAGCTTTCATTGTGAGCTTTTTACGTACCAGCGTATTTATGTAAAATGATTTATTAATGTCTGAACTTTGTTTTTAAAATACATTTCTTTAATTACAGTTTTTTATTTGTTTAAAACCAATCCAAATAATGTGACTCCAGTTGAAAGAATAAAGATTGCAGAAGGCAAGATATACTAAGGACCTGCCCTGTTTATGAAAACTGCACTTAACAAGCCACTACTCTCTTATAAGTGTCTTAAGGCGGCATCTAAATATAATTAGCAGAAAGCAAGGGAGGCAGCACAACACAGCCATCTAGCATCCCTCTGCTTTCAGAACTCACACACCAAACATCCTTAGCTACTCAAGGTCAGCTACCAGGCTGCCTAATTTTAAGGTCCAGGCCTTCTTGCCTTTCTCTGTGACTTAGACGCTAGCAAGCTGCTGCATCTGGAAAACATCAAATATTGCACTGGGTGTTGTGTGGTTTCTGCAATACCAGCCACTCCCCCATTCCCCACAGTCCCAAGGAAACTAAACCACCATCACCCCCCTTGAATTTAACCTTCACCCAGAAGGCTGATCTAGCTAGAATATGCTGCCACATACCATCCTATCAGGCTGTAGTTGAGCTGCAGGATGTTCAGCACACTTAATTGTTTTGTAAGTGAGTTTCCATTTGAGGCTAGGACTGTGATCAGTGACGGCCTCATGCCTCAGCATCGTTTCTCAAAATGCTTCCTTCCTAGGCAGTCTCCCAGTGTGCTGGTCCCTCTCTAGGACAAATGTGTGACTGTGTTTGAATAGAGTCTCGTGCTGCTTTCACAGAAACAATAATTGGAGACTTTTTTGCAATTAAATGGTGGATGTGCCATCACTGGAACTTGCTGTGTGTACAATGGCAACCTCTCCTTTTAAAACTGGTTTCTAACCTAAAAAAGCCAACTTGGGATTGGTGCTCACTTATACTCAGTGAGTAAAGCCATAATTTAACATCCGAACTGTGTCTGTGACCTCGTAAAGCTCTCTTTCCAAAGCT